CCCACCCTTGAGACTCCTTGATCAATTATAAATTATTGTTGTTTTTATATCTTACACCGGCTATTGTCGAAGGGGTGTTATACATCGATCATTGTGATCAGTTCCCCCTTCCTTCCCTCTTGCCCTCACCTTCCCCTACCTTCTTGGTATCGCTACTCCCATTTCTATTCCTGAGGGGTTATCTGACCCGTGTTTCGTGAGCTCTTAACTGTACCAGTGTACATGCTATGGCGTAGTCAGAACTGAAAGGCAGAACCAGTGTCATGATAGTGAGGATGAGGAGGGTTCAAGGAACCAGAGGAATAATGTGTGTTTCATCGGTTCTATACTACACCCTGGTTGACTCATCCCTACCTTGTGACCCTACTTTGAGAGTTTTGGGTCTACAGATGGGTTTGGGGTCTTTTTTTTAAGATGGTCACTAAATTCATTGGATATATACTCAAGGTCAATGATCTTTGGTGGTCCAGTGAGTTAAGTGATTGGAACCTACCAGCTGCTCTAGGAGAGAGATTAGACAATCTGCTTCTGTAAAGATTTACATCCTTTCCCCTATAAAGCAGTTCTGCTCTGGCCTTAAGGGAAGGAATCAACTCAGTGGCAGTGGGCTTTCTGAGTTGTACACTCAAGGTTGTGCTTTGGCTCTCATGCACTGGTTTTAATTTTGTTAAGTTTCTACTTGAACTTGCATAGGAGCGGTAGTTGGCCCGGGACCTGTTTTGACTAAAAATATTTTGTTTCTCTATTATCTCTTTCAAACAGTTGTCACTTTGTATCTTGGTCATTTCATTTGGTGAGGTTCCCATGTATAACCTTACTGCCATAAAGGAGACTCTGACTCATGGTGGCACTCCTGCCTCTGTGGGTTTCCAAGACTGTAAATCTTTATGGGAGTAAAAAACCTCATATTTCTCTCAAGGAGCAGCTAGTGGTTTTGAATTTCTGACCTTGTGATTAGTAGCCCAAGGCATAATCCACTGCGCCTCCAGGTCTCCCCTTGTGTATATTGTTGTTGTTGTTCTTAGGTGTCATTGAGTTGGTTCTGACCCATAGCAGCCCTGTACCCAACAGAAAGAAACACTGTCCAGTCTTGCACCATCCGCAAAACTGACCCCCTTGTGGCATGCTTTGTGTTAGTACATCTCATTGAGGGCCTCCCTCTTTTTTGGTGCTGATGCGGTTTCTTGAGCAGGGAGAATGAACATGGAACCAAACAGACACACACACACAGACAACACAGGACTGCCGCACAAAATAGACACAGACAGAGATGGTACAAGCTGCAGCAGCCTTGACGGACCACAGTGCTTTATTTTTAAGTGCTGGCAGTGTTCCCAGATAAGTTTGCTATCCCCACGCCTGAATTTCTCATAGCCTTGAGAGAGAGTTCTTTTTATTTATTTATTTATTTATTTGAGAGTTCTTATCTCAGCCTGTACCACTTTTGTTTACTGCTCCCAGGGAACACTCTGCAGCTGTTCCCCCAAATTCCTTACCGTTTGCAGTAAGGAAGCAGTTTGTGAGAACCAGCTAGGACAGACGTTTGCGCACTGTCATACATGACATAAGACACGGCCCTCCTTACATGGCTTCTTCAGGTGCCCTTCCACTTTACCATGTATGATACCCTTCTCCAGGACTGGTCTCTTCTGAAAACATGTCCAAAATATGTAAGAGGAGGTCTTGCCATTCTTGCGTCTAAGGAGCATTCTGACCGTACTTCTTCCAAGACAGATTGGTTTATCTTTTTAGCAGTCCTTGGTTCTCCAGCACCACAATTCAAATGCATTGATTCTTCTTCGGTCTTGCTTACTTAGTGTCCAATGTTCATATGCATATGAGGCAGTGGAAAATACCATGGCTTGGATCAGGTGCACCTCAGTTCTCAAAGTAACATCCTTGTTTTTCAATACTCTAATAAGGTCTTCAACAGCAGATTTGTCTAATGCAATGTGCCTTTTGCTCTCTTGACTGCCACTTTCCAACAGAATGCTCAAGAGCAATAGCATTGATAGTGCATGCCAGTCAAATATTGCTGAAGATCATCCAACGATGGTTACAGCAGTACATTGACAGGGAACTGCCAGAGGTTCAGGCAAGATTCAGAAGAGGACGTGGTACAAGGAAGCTCATTGCTGATGTCAGATAGAACTTGGCTTAAAGCAGAGACTACTAGAAAGATGTTTACCTGTGGTTTATTGGCTATGCAAAGGCATTTGACTGTGGATTGTAATACACCATGGATGACCTTGAGAAGAATGGAAATTGTCCTCCTACAGAATTTGTACATGGATCAAGAGGTAATTGTATGAACAGAGCAAGAGAATACTGCATGGTTTAAAGTTAGGAAAGGTACATGACAAGGTTGTATCCTCTCACCATACATGTTCAGTCTGTGTAGTGAGCAAATCACCCGACAAGATGGACTTTATGAAGAAGACTATGACATCAGAATTGGAGGAAAGCCTATTAATAACCTGTGATATGCAGATGACACAACCTTGCTTGCTAAAAGTTTTCTAACTTGTACTTTGGTATCGATTTTGACTCCAGACCAATGAAAATCAAAATCTTCACAACCGGACCAATGGATACCATGTTCTTGTGTATAGTCACTGTTTTTATTTAAACAATGTGTAGAATGAGTAAATTCTTGGTCTTGAAAAATTCTATCATGCAGTCTCCATCCAGTCCAGCCTTTTCTCTGTCACCAAGGCCATGTTTTCTTTCCAACTCCGGATCCTTCTCTTTTGTTTCCAACAGTTTTGCATTCTAGGCGCCAGCATTGATTGTATGTTTGATCAGTTTGAGACTGCAGCAGAAGTTGGTAAAAAGTCTAAAATTTCTTCGTTTGGCTTTACTGGTTGGTGGTTAAATTTGAATAATGGTCATTATTAACTCGCCTTCCTTGCTTGTATGCTTATGGATAGTGTCCTATCACTGACAGTGCTGCACTTTAGAGTAGATCTTGACATTGAATGCAATGCCTTTCCTCTTTGTCATTACCAACATAGTTGACCATGTGGTTATCCTTTTCAAAAATGGCAACACCAGTTCATTTCAGTTCACTAATATCTGGATTACAGATCACTATACATTCTATTTCATCTTTAACAACTTCCTATTTCCCTAGATTCATACTTACTCATTTCACATTCTAATTATTAATGGATATTTTCAACAAATGAAGGTCCCAAAAGCTTTACTCCATCTAATCATTAGTGTCTACTCCACTTTGAGGCGGCAGCTCTCTCCCAGTTGCATTTTGAGTGCCTTCCTACCTGGGGCGCACCTTCCAGCATTAAATCCATCGATATTCCACTGCTGTTCTAAGGCTTTCAGTAGATAGAATTTTTTTTTTCCAAAAATAGAATGCCACTCTTCTTTTTAGTCTGTCTTAGTCTGGAAACTCTGCAGAAATATGTCCAGTTTGGGTGATCTTGCCGATCATCGAAAAATACAGGTAATATAGTGTCCAGCATTACAGCATGACAGGCTTACAGACAAGTGATGGTGGAGGAAAGCTGGGCAGACCTGTCAGGCTCAAGAGACCCTGTGCCCAGCACAAGCAAGAAAGCCGAAAATCAAGATGCTGGTCTTTGAGAAACTGTAAGCCATGTTTATTCACCAAGGAAGGAGCCCAGAGGTATTTCCTCTAAGCTTGAGCTCCCTATCCCTTGGGCAGATTACAACTTATGGGATTTAAAAAGTATTTTTAAGTGCATATTCCCAAGTTATACATATACATATTATTAAGAAACATATTAATTGCGTGTGTATGTGTGTGTGTGTGTGTCTGTGTCTGTCTGTATTAGGGTGAATGCATGCCGTGAACATAGATCTTCATGCATCTCATGGTCAAAACATGGCAGCCTCTGCAAGCTTGCCGGGGGAGATTTCCTGAGGGATATGTATTGTCTAGCCAGAGGTCCTGAAACACAACTTTAAGAAACTAAGTTTGCATATTCGGGTGTAGGAGTAGAGAAAAGGAGAAACAAGTTGCTAGAAGGAATTCTATCCTCCCTGCTGTTTGACCAGAAAGAATTTCAGCTCCTCCTAATTAGGCATGTCAGCTCTTTCCTTGCCTGTTAGTTGGAAAGAATTCCTCCTCTGTTTGACCCCTTTTGAGCCCTAAAACGATTGCCCTGAGGTGATGTTTAAACTTTAAACCAGAAATATCCCCTGAATGCATCTTGAAAACTGAACAATAATTTAACTTTGTTATTAAAAAAAGTCTACTTTGAGCATTATGCTTTTAAATACTATGCAAATGGGATAAAATTATTACATTAAATCAAAAGATTAGATATGGATCTTTAGGGAAAGTGAATTTAATGTGACAGATGGAACAACTCAGAAAAGGGGGGAAAGGATGGTTGCCCAGCTCAAAGAATGTACTCATGTCACTAAGTGGTAGAAAGTGTTGAGTTGGTATATGTTGTGCTATGTATATTTAAACAACTGCATAATAAATGAAACATAATGGGAAAAAACCCTACTTATATCAAAGCATGCTATAAGAGTATGTTGGAGGAGAAAGATAAAGAAAGTGGAGTGGGGTCGAGCAGGTGACCACTATATTTTATTAAAAGCCTTTTTAACATTTATTTTTATATGCATGCAATACAAGTAGTAGAGGACTTTGCAACATAACGATTTGTTTGCATGTCTGTTTTCCTCACTAAACTCTAAACCTGTTAATGACAGGAACTACGTTGTTCCTCTTCAGTTAATTCAGTGCACATCACCTCGCCTCTGCATTCTCTTTTAGCACAATGAAAGTAGAAATGTCAGAGTGCTGTTTTCTTCCACAATGGTTACAGATGTGTTGCTTTCGAATGTTTGGAAACATTTACTTGCATAGTTTAAAATATAGTTATAAATAGAAAATTGAAGGCTATTAAATATAATTCAATTCTTTGATATTGTAAATATTTAAATTTTTAGAAAATTGTTATGGGATCATTGAAAATTTCTTTCCATTTTTTCTCTCATTTTAGATGTTTAGTGCCAAAGAAATTGAATTAAAGGTAACTGAAATAGAAAAGGAAAAAGAAGAAGCAGAAAAGAAGAAGTCAAAGAAGAATGTCTGATTCTTAGGATGAACAGAGATTCTTTACTGTTTTGTGATACTATTCAGAATTATTTAGTGACATTTAAAAAAGGCTAAGTTAATTTACAGCATTGAATTTGGTAGTTATGTGGTATCTTGAGACTGAAATATTTATAGCTGTGATAAACCCATTGCATAAACAAACACATATTAATAAGATTTTCTTTGAAAGGAGAGTAAAAATATTTTAATTTTAAAAACAAGTAATTTAATAAAATTCAAATGTTGAATTTTAGTCAGAGATTTCTGTGTACATTTTTCCCTGTAAGTTGTACTATATAATTTTACTCATTGAAGGCCTAATTCAAATAGGCAATAAAAGTGTGATAAGAATTTATAAAGGCATTTGAACAGGGTGTTCTCTGAACAGGAGAGAAATGACTACATGTATCAGTTTAAATGTCTATTTTTTCTTAAGTATGTTCAGTACATTAGGCTTGTTCACTACACTTTCCATGTGTGCTTGCTATGTTCTTACTATCTATGTTCTTGGTGATTCCTGCTCACAGAGAAGAAAGCATGTGTTTAATGCCTGTAAGGAGGTTACATTTTGGAAAATAAAGGGTATTAATAGTCACAAAGTCAAAAGCGAATGTACATTACTTTAAGACTTTGCCTCTCTCTCATTTTTTTAATGCGTCTTTTTACAACCAGTGAGGGCCAGAGATTGGGTTCTGGCAGAAGACCAAGCTCAGGGGGATGGTAAAGGAAAGAGTAAGGTCCTTGAAGACTAATAGTGTAGCAACTTAAAAATGATAAGCATTCAGTGGAAAACAGAATGTAAGTTGCTTTCAAGTTGCTCAGTGAATGACCTTGTTTCAAGACCAAGTTTTTCAGTGAAAGCAAACACACAAGTTGTCACCTACAGTGGACAAGTTTCCGTGGAATTTACAGACTAAGAACAGACTAGAAGAAAGAGGTCCACTTTTTGAGGGCTTAGCCACTGAACATCGTATGAACAGCAGCAGAGCATTGTCGGTACAGTGCCAGAAGATGAGCCCTCAGGGTGGAAGGCACTCAGAATACCACCAGGGAAGAGCTGTCTCCTCAAAGCAAACTCCTTGATGGGAGGTACTTCTGTTATCTTTTGCATTAAGATGCCAAGGAAGTGAGTGGCCGCCTGAGAGCAGTCCACCCCAAATGATGTCAACAAGCAGGGTGGCTAAACATCCTAGGACATAATACACCCAACTTGTGCTTTTCATTTCAACATGTGCCAAGCTCCAAGTTATGTCAATGATAAAATACGTTTCTCTGCTACCACTACTCTATTCTTGATACATGGAGAAAAGACTGAAATTGTCAAAGATCTCAGCTTGCTTGGATCTGCAATCAATAGTCATGGAAGCAGGAGCTAGGAGCTTTTAGGGAACAGATGGTTGGTTCTGTGTTTAAGTTTTATAGAGGAATGGTGTGGGGATTTAGGAAATGCTCTAGTATCTTGAGTAAATGAAATTAAAAGGGCATTCAGGGCTTACGTCTCCACAGTGTACATTCAACTCTAGAAACTTCCCTATAACTTTTATGTCTGAGGAAAAGAAATGTAGAGAAGGGAGCCACAGAAAGAGGAACACTTGTGAGGTGTCCCCCTGACAGTGTGTTAAAACTTCTTAACATTCTGACTGTGATCTGCCTAGTGCTCCGAAGCAAGAGTATAAGAAGGCAGATCACAGAAAAACTTGGTCTTGAAACAAGGTCATTCATTGAGCAACTTGAAAGCAACTTACATTCTGTTTTCCACTGAATTCTTAACATTTTTAAGTTGCTCCACTATTAGTCTTTAGAACAACTTGACAATTATAAGCAGGCAGTTCACTGAAAATAAGAGCCCACGGTCGACAATTTTCAGTGGAGCTTACAGACAAAGAAGATACTAGGAAGAAGTGGTCCACTTTTGAAAAAATAACCACTGGAAACTATGATTAGAAGCTAAACATCATCTGATACAGTGCCAGACAATGAGCCCCCTGGGTTGGAAAGTACTCAAAATACTACATGCTGCCACCTCTACGTGGAGTCAGCCTTAATGATTGTGTTTTATTTATAAATGATTTATAAAAAAATAAAGGTTCCTAAGAGATATTAGATACCTGGGAATAAATATAACCAGGTATGTGAAGGACTTATACAATGAAAACGATAAAATATTGCTGAAAGAGATTTATTTATTTTTAATAACTATTGGGGGCTCGTACAACTCATCACAATCCATACATACATCAATTATGTAAAGCACATTTGTACATTTGTTGCCCTCATCATTCTCAAAACATTTGCTCTCCACTTAAGCCCCTGGCATCAGCTCATTTCCCCCTTCCTCCCTGCTCCCCCTCTCTCATGAACCCTTGATAATTTATAAATTATTATTTTGTCATGTCTTACACTGTCCGGCGTCTCCCTTCACCCACCTTTCTGTTGTCTGTCCCCCAGGGAGGAGGTTATATGTAGGTCCCTGTAATCGGTTCCCCCTTTCCACCCCACCCTTCCACCTCCTTCCTGGTATCGCCACTCTCAGCACTGGTCCTGAAGGGATCATCCTCCCTGTATTCCCTGTTTCCAGTTCCTATCTGTACCAGTGTACATCCACTGGTCTAGTTAGATTTGTAAGGTAGAATTGGGATCATGATAGGTGGGCGGGGGAAGCATTTAGGAACTAGAGGAAAGTTGTATTTTTCATCATTGCTACACTGCACCCTGACTGACTGCTCCTCCCCACAACCTCTCTGTAAGGGGATGTCCGGTTGCCTACAGATGGGTTTGGGTCCCCAATCTGCACTCCCCCTCATTCACAATGATATGATTTGTTGTTCTTTAATGCCTGAAACCTGATCCCTTCGACACCTTGTGATCACACAGGCTGGTGTGCTGCTTCCATGTGGGCTTTGTTGCTTCTGAGCTAGATGGCCACTTGTTTACCTTCAAGCCTTTAAGACCACAGATGCTATATCTTTTGATAGCCGGGCACCATCAGCTTTCTTTGCCACATTTGCTTATGCACCCATTTGTCTTCAGCAATTGTGCCTGAAAGGTGAGTATCATGGAATGCCAGTTTAATAGAACAAAGCATTCTTGCATTGAGGGAGTATTTGAGTGGAGTCCCAATGTCCATACGCTAAACCTATACATATATGCACATAGATCTATTTCCCCATCCTCATATATAAATATATTTACAAATGTACATGCCTTTATTTAAACCTCTATAAATGCCCTTTACCTCCTAGCTCTTTCTTCTATTTTCTTTACTTTCCTCTTGTCCCACTATCATGTTCAGCCTTCAGTAATTCATCTAATTATGGGTTTTGTTTGTTTTACCTCATTAATCATGTTAGATTTGTGTATGTTCATTTGTATATTTAAGATCATTCAGTACATGAAAGCAAAGATACATAATCCTTCAGAAACAGTAACAAGAATACTGGTTCCCTGAAGGTACAGGAAGAGAGGGGTGGGGAGAAGGGGGGCATGGGGAGCTGAAAGCATTGATGACTGTATAGCCCCACTCAACAGCGTCAAACAACAGAATTGTATGTGAATGTATATATTGCCTTGTGTGAGACATGACTTTAAAAAAAACTATTATAGGAAAAAAAAATGGAATAAGGGTTCCTCAGGGGTATGGTGGGGAAGGGAGGGGAGGAAAGAGGAGAGAGATCAAAGAGTTCAAGAAAGAAAATGTTTTAAAACTGATTGTGGTAGCAATTGTACAACACTGCTTGATGTGATTGAACTATGAAATGTTATGATAGCTGTAAGAGCTCCCAATAAAATTATTTTTTTTTAAATTACTTCAGGCCATGGAAGTGGAGATAGAGGAAAATAAGCGGCTAACAATAAATATGAGAAGGAAATTTTCTGAAATAGGTTATGGTGATGATTGTACAACTCTTAATACAGTTGAGATGCAAAAGTGTATGATATGTATATTATATGCTAATAAAATTACTTTTATACAAAATTTTTAACTTCATTGAACTGCTAGACAACGTCTTTGTATTATTTAATCCCTGACAAGGAGAAGGAGAGTTTGGGAAAAGAATTTTCTTTTTGGTGTAAAAGAAAGGTACCAATCATTATTACCCTCATGAGGAACTGACTGGTGGAAAAAGACCTGGTCTTGGTCAAAGAATCCCCTCAGCTCAGTTTCCCAGAAATTATTCTCCATAAAGTTCTTGTGTCATGTGACCAAATAGTTCCTGGTTTGGGAAATACGTGAACTACAAGTTTAAGAAAAAGAAAGCAGGTTGCTTAACTGGAGTGTTTCCCAAAATGTGGTCTGTGTATCTCTGGGTATCAAGGTATCTCAGGGTGTCTTCATTGCTTCCCTAGCATTACCTAAGCTGTTTGCCTTTTTCACTCTGTGGACATTTGCATAGATGGTGTAAAAGTAGCACTAGTGGGTAGACCTACAAACCAGAGCACTGTAGTAGTAGTTATTGTATTCATTACAACCACACACTTAAAAGTTTTATTTTTTGAAGCATCAGTTTCACTTTAGACTTGCGGTAGTTACACGATTTCTTGTCAACTTGGTAAGAATAAAGGGGTGGAGTCTAGCCTGTCAATCAGGTGGACAGACTGATGGTACCTCCTTGTGGGTGTGGCCTTCTCATGAGGATTCTGGGAACTCTCAATCTTGATTCTGCCATCAGAAGAGGTGCACCAATCTCACTCTCTGCTTCACCTTCCTGTTGACAAGCCAGATGGAGTCATGCTGATGGCAGCAAGAGCCCTGGAGATGCTTCCACCACCACTGGATTCACAAGATGTTCTACCCATCGGCTTGTGATATTCCTGCATCATTGCATGTGTGTGGGAGTCTAAAGAGGAATTTATGGACTAATATCAGACATATGGGATAATATCAGAATTATGGACTTGATTTGGACTGGGCTGGGATGTTTTCTCAATATACAATTGCTCTTTGATATAAAGCTCTCTCATACACACATATGAGTATCTCCAGATTTGTTTCTCTAGTCAATCCAGACTAACACAAAACTGTTTTTGATGAAACAGTAAACTCTACATATATTTAAATTTTGTGTAGCTAAGTGGGATGTATATATACAACATGTCTGCTATTTGGCAATAAGGTCATTGACTTTAGGAATACTGTGTTTAAATTGCACACTGAACTAAATCATCTAACTAGTCTTTATTTTCTCTCTTGAAGTCTTTTTAAGAATGTAACACACTGCCATCGAGTTGAGTCTGATTCATAGCAACCCTATAGGACAGAGTAAAACGCCTTTGGGTTTCTGACACTATAAATCTTTATGAGACAGACAGCCTCATCTGTCTGCCTCAAGCAACTGGCAACTGCTGACCGTGGAGTCGGCACCCCGTGTTTAACCCACTGCACCACAGAAAGTGATGGGATGTAGCCAAAGGACACAGCCAACTTAAACAAGATCCCTCTGTTCAAATCTAAGGCAATTTGGGGATCTAATGATAGATCATAAATCAGTGAGTAAAAAAATATTGCATTAATACAGAAGGGAGATAAGAAAGCACTTCGCTCCTAGAGGATGCCAAATGATGATGTAGAAGAAAAGGGG